TACCTTGTCGTTCCTGTTACAGGATATTTCCATGTTACCCCTTACATCCCTATAGAAAATATCACAATTGATTGTGGTTCTTCCACGAGTGTCCCATCTCTTGATGGCCGTTCTTGGGTCGGAGATGTCGGTGGAAAATTCATCCTCATAGAGCAACCAAACAATAAGAACAAATCATCAGCGGTTAAACTTGAATCCCAGCTGCCGTCATTTGTTGATTCGGTCCCTTATTCCACAGCACGTCTATCTTACTCAGAGTTCACCTATTCGATTCCCCTCACCACTGGCCCAAAGTTCATTCGCTTCTACTTCTATCCAACTTCTTATCCAGGCTTTGCAGACCCTTATAATAAAGCTTTCTTCCTGTTAAAGCTGGTCTTTTTACCCTTCTTAGCAATTTCAATGCTTTACTTCATGCTCGAGTTGAACTTACACTTGTCAATGAATTTTATGTTAACGTTCATGAAAGTCAAAGGGTAGTCCAAATATATCTGATTCTTATGCTTTCATCAACGGAATCGAAGTTGTTGAAATGCCAACCAATCTCTATCATGGACCAGCAATTAACGATGGGGTAACTTTTCTAGGCCAGGCCCAGGCAGAAGACACAGCCCTTGATATGATGTATCGAATCAACGTTGGTGGGAAAGAAATCTCGGCAGCAGATAAATCAAGTCCAAGGAAATTCACCACCAACCACAACCAAGCCTGATAAATCAACAAGGACAATTATCTTTGCTGTTGTTGCTCTGATTTCCGGCATTGTTACTGTCTCTCTGTTACTTTTCCTGATTTTCCGAAACTGTTCCAATAACTTTGCCAACAACAGCATCCCTGCTCCACCTTCTGATATTTGTCGCCGTTTCTCACTAAGGGAGACCAAAACAGCTACCAACAACTTCGATAAGAGTTTCATCATCGGAAGAGGAGGATTTGGCGACGTGTACAAAGGATTCACTAAGGCTTGCCCCACCCCCTTGCAATTAAACGACTCAATTCAAGTTCACAACAAGGGGTGCTTGAGTTTAGGACCGAAATCGAGATGCTCTCCAAACTTAGGCACCAAAACTTAGTCGCTCTACTTGGATATTGCGAAGATAATAAGGAAATGATCCATGTGTATGATTACATGCTTCATGGGACGTTGAGAGATCACCTCTACAACACTAATAATCCCCCATTACAATGGGAGCAGAGGCTCAAGATGTGTATTGGTGCTGCACATGGACTGCACTATCTCCACCTAGGTCCCAACCACACCATCATTCATCGTGATGTGAAGACAACAAATATTTTGTTAAACGAGAAATGGGTGGCCAAAGTGTCTGATTTTGGATTGTCTAAAATGAATGATTTATCCAACACTCATATCAGCACTGCCGTCAAGGGCAGATTTGGGTACTTAGATCCCGAATATTACCGTCTTCAGAAATGAACTGAAAAATCCGATGTTTACTCTTTCGGTGTGGTGTTGTGTGAAGTTCTATGTGCGAGAGTACCGATAGATCGAACTTCTGAGGATCATATGCAAATAAGTTTGGCAGAGTGGGCACAACATTGCAAGAACAATGGAAGCCTTGATCAAATAATAGATCCATATTTACAGGGTAAGATCAGCCTTCCAAGCCTATTGAAACTTGGAGAAGTAGCTATAAGTTGTTTAGCTTCGGAAGGGATGAAAAGGCCGACAATGAGTGAAGTGCTGTATGGACTTGAGCTTGCATTGCAACTGCAGGGAAGTGAAATGAACGGAAACGATGAGCATGATGCAAATAACTCATCCAATGTTGATTATCATGTGTTGTATACAAGTGGTAGTGGGTCAATGAGGGTTGGTCGTTAGAATCAATGTTTTAATTATTTGCTCATTGTAATCTTATGAACTAATGTTTGATAATTTTATTATTCTTAATCCAACTGTCCTACTCAATCCATGATGATAGTACTCAATTCATAAATTCATAAGCCCAGAATTGTGTATAAAAATAAAATAAAAAGAAGGAACTTCCGTTACGGACTGTTCATAAGATACTGTATTTGTTTCTTAGCTTTCTTTCACCCACGTGCACTCTACACACAAATATCTTTGGAAAGCTAACATATTTTCCAACAAATTCTGATCTTTCTTTTTTGTACACGTTACATGTTTAGAAGAAAATCAAGGCATTTGAACTTATAATAACATTTTGAAGTCGTTATACAACAAAATCAATTAAATTAATGTATATATATATGTTTCAATTCATGTACATATGAATTTGAACTGGATCCAGCACCTCATATTAACCCAGATAGTAACTCATAGTCGAACAGGCTAACCTCTTGTTCATGCCGAGAACTGTAATATGGCTCAGCATCGAACATCCATGACTCCAGATTCTGGCACGCTAACCATTCCGTCTGTTGGTCACTCGTCGACAAGTTAGACATTTCGTCAAACATGTCACGATCACCCGTCTGAAACAGTTCAGCTATTTGGTTCATATCATTCAACCGAAATGCTTGGTCATCAAGTGACTCCAACGAACAACCCAACGACGAATCTGTAAGCAATGTTGAGGTGAAATCTGGGAAGACTTCTCCTTGATCTTCGATTCTAATGACCGGGACGATCTTCGCAACGTCATCCGGAACCGGAACAGTTTGGTTCCGGTAACCGGTAAGCTCTTGAACAAGCTGCTTGAAGCTTGAACTGTGGGTAATATAAACCTTGGGCCTCAAAACTTTGTTTACGCTGTGAAGTTGCTCATCGACGTTCTTGGATGTTCTTCTTGTTGATGCTAGCTGATGAATTACCTTCTTTCCCATTGTTAATTGTTTCCCCTTTTTTTCAGGAAAAAAAAAATCTTACTTTGGGTTTTCTTTATGTTGATCGTTGAATGAAAAATATCTGAGAAAAGGGAGGTATAAATATGTAGTTTCCGGTGAAATGGATAGGGGTGTGCGTGGATTATCTTACAAAAACCAAGTCTTAGGACATTAACAAGATGCTGAAATTGATTTCCTTTTTAAATAAAAAAGCGATTTTTATAATAAGAGTCCATACCAATCACGACTATCGACCAAATCCCGGAGTTGATAATTTTAAATGCAATTAAAAAAAAGATTAGGAAGAATTACGTTGATGTTCTATGAACTTTTAGGATATTTTTATACTGGTCACCAAAGCTTTAGAATTTGTGTTATAGTTACTAAAATTTTAATTTATTTTCATTACAATCATTTTCGTTAGTTGTTGTTAAGAAAAATTAACGTAACATGTTAAAAGCTTGTTCCTAAACCTAAATTTCTAAATTAGAAGCCGTTGCAAAGGTTAAATTTTTCGTGAATTGAGCAATTGTCGGTCAATCCCAATTATTGAATTTTGGAAGAATCTGTTTGATCAAAATATTAACATAGTTCACTTTCAAGATAATCCAACAATTGTTAATGATAGATCCAAAAAAATTAACTTTTAATCCCAATTGATATTTGAAGATTTTGGAAGATTTTTTTTTGTGATAAATTTGAACTAAAGAGAAAAAAAATAGTAATTCACTAATCTTTTTCAAGCTAATATTTTTTTATAATTGCTTTGATAATAAATTTTCAATTACAGTGATCAAAGTGAAAACACTCTAAAAATTCAATGATTATTAGAGCAGTTTACCAAAAAAAAAAATTAAAACATGCTACCATTTGAAAAAGGAATAACATTTTATATGAGAAAAACAACATAAGATGTTATGAATATGAAATTTTGCATGTGTTTAGATATATATTTTGTAAAGAATTAATGCTTCTGTTATCATCCATCCTTTTAGCAGTTGATTCCTTGGTTTGTAGTTTTGCATTGAAGGGATATAGAATATAAAGTGGTCAATTTGATACTCTCTTTTGGGGTATCAATTTCCATAAGATAAGTATTCACTAACCAATGTTAAGGAATCTTTGAAAATATGCAAATTATTATCAACTGGAATAGACTTGTGTACAAGGTCCTCCCATGGAAGATTGAAGCAATCAACGTTTTAGGCACATTTAGTGAAAGATAAAAGACTTGCACTGAACAATGACGATTGAAACTTCTCCATCGTCAACGTTTTAGGGACAATTACTGTTTTTTTTAAAAAAAATTAGAAAATGAGTTATAAATCGTACTATGCTTGATTGGCGTCAAAATCTTCTATTTTTATGGAAAATAGATGAAAAAAAATAAAATTTATAGAAATGAACCTACTCATAAGTTGATAATTTTATTCCTAACAGATATGATGGATTAATTTTAAACATTATGTGAGTCTATGATTTATCAGAGATTGTGTCAAAAGATTTTATCTTAAAAGACGTTCTTTTTTGAGACTCTCATTACAAAGAAATTAATTTTTATTACGTAAAGATTAATTTTGTATAGAAAATTTGAAAGTATAACCAACAAACAAAAATTACTTGAGGTCTTTGGTTAACGTAGTAATGGTGGTTGTCTCTAGAGATTTTCTGACATCTACTCTAGCGACTTTGATGCTAGTCAAAAAATCTTTTTTGATCTTTCACTTATTAAATATGTTATTAACCCGACAAGAAAAGATAGTTATGCAGTGTAATATCTAAATTTAAAATTAAGACGATTTTAGTTTAAAATATTATCATATTTAACTTATAAATTTATACAAATTTATAATATTTTCGATTATAACTAAAATGATATATTACTAAAGTTTTAAGGTTTACAAGAAAATAAGATTTTCGATTACACTCCGTCCAACCTCAAAAAAATGTTGTGTATAACTTAAAAAATTAGACTCTTAATAATTTTTTTATTATAATCAATTTGTACCTTTTTTTTTAACTTTATGTTAACGATTTATATTTTAGAATTTACTCATAAGAAACCATGAACCCAATAAAACATTTGAATTGAAAATACTTCGGGCTTTTACGTTTTATCTCATGTGCACTTCAACCCAATTCAATTTCACTTATTAAACCCTAAAGTCCAAATTTGAGGCAAGGGCATCAAATTTTTTCTTTGTTTGCTTACCTTCTTGCCGCCGTTGCAAGTTTTATTCTTACGGTCTCCCTCTTTCAGCAATAGCAGCTTTTCATTCTGCATGCCTTTACAGGTTTGCCGACAGTAGCAGCACAACATCTCCGCCGCTGTCAATCTTCAGCTTCGGCCATTGCAGCTTCGATTCTGAAATTCAGTTATGCATATTACTTAGATTCTGGCTTGAGGTACGAGTTGTTTGCATTGCCAATGAAATCTTGCCGCTGACTTCATCGCAATTGGCTTGTGTTTTTTTATAAAATTTTATGGGTTTTTAAATTTTCTTTAATTACTTTATTGTTAAACCGGCTATTAATCTTTTGTTTAAATTTGCTCTATTTGAACGGACTGGATGCAAAGTTTTTCATCTAAGAGTTTGGGTTTGTGTTGGTTTAAGCTTTATGGAAAGCTAAGCCTTTTATTTCAACGTCACTGACCTAATTAAGAATCTCCCTCAGCAACCAAACTTTCCTAAGCGTTTGTTCCTTATATATCCGTAACAATGGGTGCTAAAAAGGAGAATAGCGACGACGAGATGGACGAGAAAGTAAAGAAGTATCTTAGAGGAGAAGCTGCTAATTTAGAGGTAATCAATTTTTGTATTTATTTATTGTTTTTTACTTATTTTATGAATGTGTTCTTTGTTCATTATTTGTTTATTTTCTACAGGGTTTAAAAGACAAGAAACTAAAGGGCCAACTTGCTGTAAGAGAAGATTTGTATGGGAAATCTGCAAAAACTGCTGCCAAGATTGAGAAAGTGAGTTTTTATCTTCCCTTTTAAGCATTGGCTTCTTTTTATTTCTTAATTTACAAGTCTGTGCGTATTTTAATTGTTCTTAACCTTAAATTTGTTATTTTTTGGGGGTTCAGTGGCTTTTGCCAAGTGAGGGTGGCTATTTGGAGGCAGAGGGTATTGAAAAGACATGGAGGATCAAGCAAGAATCTATTGCTCGTGAGGTTGATATCTTAAGCTCAAGAAACCAGTATGATATTGTTCTACCAGGTGCGTACTTTACCAAATGTTTCTGGTTTGTTTTAGTGACAAGGCTTTTGAAGAAGGTTTTTATTGGTTTAGACAAAGCATTATATGCCATAATACAAGATAGGATAAGCAGTCGTTCAATAAAGCTGATGTTAATGGTAGCTTGTTGTTTTACTTCTATCTGGTTTATGTACTCATTTTGATTCCATCTGCACGTGCAGAACTTGGTCCATACACACTAGATTTCACCTCAAATGGTCGATATATGGCGGCTGCTGGACGCAAGGGCCATCTAGCTATTGTTGATATGAAGACATTAAACTTAATTAAGGAGATTCAGGTATGCAATGCTTTTGCAAAAATCAAAATTTGTAGTTGAAGCTGTCACGTGTTAGTGAGAGAAGCTCCAGCTTCTCTCTAACCCGCGTTTTCAAATTTCAAATTCCCCCAGGCGTTTTTGAAAATTTTTCTCTCCTCCGACTTACACCCGTTGTCAGCCGCCGTCATCAGCCACCCGCCGCCGCCGTCAGACTCCGCGCCGGCCGTCACGTCCGGTGGCCATTGAACAACAAAACTTCCAGATTTTTTCGACTCGATGCCAGCATCAAGGATCTAGGATTCGTTTCACCAGGGAGAGCCTACAACTCAATGGATCTTGGACGTGGCCCTTCGACTTTTAGCTGTTGGCGACGCTTCTTTCTTTTTCTCTGACGACGGCGCGATCTACAACAGCAGTATAGTCATTATCTTTACTTTCTCCATCTCCTTGCGTCTATCGTCTCTCCACAAAGCAATCAAGTCAGCCACGTTCGACGCTGATCTTTAGCTGTAGTTTTGGTTCTGTTCATCACCCTTTCTTCCTTTGCTTTTCTTCAACGATAAAGCAACACAAAAGAAATGAGTTCCCGGAAACTTGAAGTGAGTCTTGCTACCCCTCACCATTACAAGTCCTCTCGGCAAAAGCCAAGGCTAGCTGCAGACCATGCTTCGGCTTCGCAGTCTGTGGAGGCGGGGATTTCCAAGATACAAACTGCTATTGTGGCATTTGATCGCCTTGTTAATTCCCTCGGTTCACTTAAAGACACCGCTGAATTACGTGACAAATTGCATAAGACAAGGCTTGATATTGAGCAGCTCGTTAAAGAGTCTTTAGCTAAACTAAAGGAACCAAGAGAAGTTGTGCAAGATGCAGAAACCTTAAAGAAATCTGTCGATGACAAGCTTGCAGCTGGGAGGGAGACGGCAGATTCATCTTCCTTTCCTAAAGAAGTTTGTCCATCAAGTTATGATGTGCATGTGCTGGAGGAAAAGGTGACCAAGAATCGCGAGGAAGAAGATGAAATGAGGGTTGAAGCCGCAGCTCTCGGGGCTAAGGCTGGCCTTCAGTCCAATAGTGGGGATAAAGAGGCTGGAAAAAGTTTGAAAATTCCGGATAAGAAGGCGAATCGAGTGGAGATTTTGGTGCCGAAGGTTACGGAATCGGAGCTTCATAAACAGAGAGTGGAGCAGCAGGCGCCGACTTTGAAGATAGTGGAGAAGGCCAAAGAGAAGCAGTGTAGGACTGCGGCGGGGAAAAAATATGAGAGGATGCTGTTGGAGTCCACCTCAAAGGGGTGCAGTAATGATAAGACTGGATGCTACACGTTATTTATTGATAACTTACCAGAGAACACTCACTGGAAGAGGTTTGGATCTTTATTTCGCTCCCATGGTCGAGTTCTTGATGCTTTTATTCCAAATAAAAGAAATTCAAAAGGAGTTCGCTTTGGTTTCATTCGCTTCGCAACTATCGATGAAGCAAGGAGAGCGATCTCAAAAATGAATGGTTCTCATATCGACGGAAGCAAAATTGGTGTTTATTTCGCTAAATTCAAACCTCGACAGTCCTTTTGGAGAAAGTCCTCGACAGGTGTTCTTCGCAAGTCCGGGATGGAAGATGTTTCGAGGAAGAATCATTATAAAGTTGAAGGTGTTATAGATGAAGAAAAACTTCAGGTGTTGAGCAATTGTCTAGTGGGGTGGTGCAAGGACTTTGTCAAAATTGGTCATCTCGCCAGACAAATGCAATTGAAGGGCTTCACTGGCTTCACCTTAATGAGAGCTGCTGGTAATGCGATTTTAATGATTTTCGAAGACAATGCTTCATTGAGAAGCGTGAAGAACGATAAATCAAAGATTCTCGCAGAGTGGTTCTCTATAGTCGAAGCCTGGTCAGAGAGTTTGGTAATGGAGTGTCGTCGAGTATGGTTAGTTTGCGAGGGTGTTCCTTTTCACGCATGGAATTGGAATACTTTCAAGAACATTGCTGATAAGTGGGGTTTATTACTAGCTATCGACGAAAGTTGTCAGTCTCCATCATCCTTTGATCGGGCAAAAATTCAAGTCCTCACAAAGGCTGATGCGAGAATTGATGCGATGGTGGAATTGAAGGTTGGTGACAACTTCTTCAAGGTCATGGTGCATGAGATAGAACCTTCATTCAAACCAAACTCTTGGGCTCCTGAAGAAGACGAGTCTCATTAGATCTTGTCTCTTCAATTGTGGTTGCTTTAGTCTATATGGTTGTAGGTGTTGCTTTTAATATGTATTATGTTCTGTTGCGCTGTACTATTCCTACTGCTGGTGGTGTAATTAGAAGTAAGGTGATTAGACTGTGGCTTTGGATGAGGTCATATGAGGTTAAGGTGTTTGTTGTAATGGTGTACATCACCATGAGAGGATATTCCGTGGTGTCTTTTGTATCGGGTATTTTATCAATAAAATTTGAGGTACTATTTTCTTCCTTCCAATGTTCGTTAACATACCTTTAGTATGTGAACGAATACGAAGGGAGTTTTTAATGAGACCTCCAACTTCTATCAAAAAAAAAAAAATTTGTAGTTGAAGGGGATGCTGTGCATTCAGTGTTGGTCTGATTTTGCATCTTGAAAGTTCCCATTTTAATGTTATTTAAGGAAATTGACCCCTGCTTTGACTTAAATCAGATTGTTATTGAGTTTTACCATAATGCTTAAAATATGGGGTTGTTTTATGGTTTCAATTTAATGTCTGTTCTTGAAGATGGATAGCATGAAGTGTGTGATTTTCTTGTAACTCATACATGTTTTATTTCTTATTCCACCCATGTGCATGAGGCTTTGTTAGCAATATTCAGTTTAAGAAAATTATTGTACAGATTAAAGTTCCAAATAGATCTCTGTTGAGAGAATCTAGAAGTTATTATATTGCACTATCTCATTAAAACCTACAGCCGATGAGTTCATTTCAATCCAAGTGTTTTCTTTTATAGTGTAAAGTCCATTCTCTGGTTCTTATATTTGAAGGCCATGCTATATATATTTTGCATCATCTTGGTATGAGAATCTGAATATCTAACCGTGTCGTGGTAAACCTTGATAACTGTGATTTTTTGTTCAGTCATGATTTTATATTATATAGAAGGACAATTTAAAATGATATAGGATAATTTTTTCATGTTGGAATGTGCATATGCGCCATTGTTTTTTTGTTAGTCTAAGTCCTCAGGTAGCTTCCTAAGGTGTCTACGAAATTCAGCAGGTTGGAGGAAGGTAGAACTTCAACCACATGCTTTGAATGTTTTATATCCTCAGGGGATTGGATGATTAATTTTGTTGCTTTAGAGGTTTTTCAGTAGGTTTTTGGTGGCCTATTGATGTTTTGGGGCTGAGATAGTTATGTTGTTTAAGGGTGGTCAGGTCTTTTTGGTGTTTTTCATTTTCAGTTTTTGTAATACTTAAGGTTCTGTTAAGTATGTCTTCTGGTTGTATCTTATGTACATTGCCTATGATTAATAAAATCCTAAGGCACTCTTTTCCTCCTTCCGCTGATTAAGGAGCTTTCCTAAAAGCTCCATTAATCAAGAAGGGGGTTTTTAATGAGGCCTGAAATTCTTATAAAAAATTGTTATATACGTGGTCAACAAACTGGATTTACTGCAGCTGGATTCTTTCCTGAGATGCTATTGCTAAATTAGCAAAGTAATAGTATCCTGAGATTATATAATTAGGCGGGGAGTATATGATTGAAATGATTATTTAGTAATTTATACTTTTTCTTGTATTTCGGGTCATCAATTAATGCTTAATGTTAATTTCTTAAAAATTAATTGTATGATATGGATTGGACTACACTGATATTTTTTTTGCCATCAGTGAAGTGATGATTCGATTTACCTATAATTGCTGGTTCTTTTTGAGCAGGTTAGAGAAACAGTGCGGGATGTAGCGTACTTGCATAATGAACTATTTTTTGCTGCTGCTCAGAAAAAGTAAGCCGTCTCAAATTACAAGTGGAAATTTCATTTTGAAAAAAATCAATCTTGTCCTTATGCTTGCATCTCCATGGAGTGTACATATCAAAATCTCTATGATTGATTGGTGCATATGCTTTGATATAGGCCTGCTCTCTGTTGAATGTGACAGTCTTGTCAAAGCAAATAATTTATCTTCATCAGTTATACCTATATAAAATTTATTTCAGTCTATTAAGGATGCCATATTTCTACTATTATGTCATCAGCATGAAAATTATATGCTTCTAATGAGAGCCTTTAAGAGCTTTATCAGAGTACAGCAGCTAAGGTGCTAATTATTGCAGATACCCTTATATTTACAATCGTGATGGAACTGAACTCCATTGTTTGAAGGTCAGTTTACTTTTTGATGAACTGTTTTACTTAATTAGCGTAGCACATGATCTTTTCCATGACTAATCTATTTCATCTATGTTCTTTTGTTCCTATAAAAAAAATCTATGTTCTTTTGTTTTTTATATTCTTTATTGGACGGTTGGAAGATTAAATGTTTTGGTGGGGTTTGTATCAAACTGAACATGCTGTTGTTCTGCCTCCCTTTACCTTAGCTTACATTGTTTTCCAAGAAACTTGAAAATTCTCGTCTCTAGCCCTCTTTTATCCTTTTCTTTCTCCGTAGCTTGACCAAGTTTATGGAGCTTTCAGAAGATTAATTTCTTAGTTGTTCTTTCTGCAGCTGTTTTGTTTTTGCTTTGGCCCACCTGAGTTTGTTGCTTCTGTTTTTTTTTTCTGCGGTTTAGATGATACATGCACACATTAATTCTGTTGCTTTTATCATAGCATGCTCACTTTTGGCATCATTCTTTTTCTTGGTTGTTAAGTTCTAGATACATTAGTCAAACTGAGGTAGAGTTTTTTTCCATCTTTTTCCCCCTCCCAGGAGCATGGTCCAGTACTGAGACTCCAGTTTCTGAAAAACCACTTCCTCTTGGCGTCCATAAACAAATTTGGGCAGCTTCGTTATCAGGATGTTACGATGGGCAAGATGATAGGCAATTTCCGGACTGGTTTAGGCCGCACTGATGTTATGCAGGTCAATCCATTCAATGGAGTTGTTGCATTAGGTCATTCAAGTGGTACCGTAACTATGTGGAAGCCCACCAGCTCAGTCCCACTTGTAAAGATGCTGTGTCATCCAGGACCTGTCTCGTCATTGGCATTCCATCCCAATGGTCATCTCATGGCTACATCCGGAAGAGAGAATAAAATCAAGATTTGGGACCTGAGGAAGTTTGAGGTTATCCAAACATTGCCATGCCATGCGAAGACCTTGAATTTTAGTCAGAAAGGCTTGCTTGCTGCTGGAACTGGATCATTTACACAGATTTTAGCCGATTTTTCTGGATCTCATAATTATAGCAGCTATATGACTCATTCTATGGCAAAAGGTTACCAGGTAGGGAAAGTTTTGTTTCGGCCATATGAAGATATTCTGGGTATAGGGCATTCCATGGGATGGTCTAGTATTCTTATTCCGGGATCTGGGGAACCCAATTTCGATTCTTGGGTGGCAAACCCATTCGAAACATCTAAACAGAGGCGAGAGAAGGAAGTGCATTCTCTGCTTGACAAGCTTCCCCCTGAAACCATAATGTTGGATCCAACCAAGGTCGGTACTGTGAGGGCACAACAAAAGAAAGAGAAGCCAACGAAGGAGATAGAAGGTGAAATGGAAGCTGCCATTGAAACTGCCAAGGATACGGAGTTTAAAAAGAAAACTAAGGGAAGGAACAAGCCAAGTAAGAGAGCAAAGAAGAGAAGAGAGATGATCGATAGAGCCAAGAGGCCGTTCTTGGAGAAACAAACACAGGAACATGAAACGTCCAGAAAGAAGCAGAAAACCGATCCGGAAACCGAAATGCCAAAAAGTTTGCAGCGGTTTGTTCGTCAAAAGGCAACATGATTATCTTCTATACGATTTGCATCAGCCATTCTGAAAGGTCCACTGTTCTCATGTTTCCCGCAATTCTGAGCTCATTTGACCAAAAGAGAAGTATTGGAACCAGGTGGAGGTGGAGACCATTGAAGTCTATTCTCACTGGTCTATACATAGAGAAATGGAAGTTAGATTTTGCTAATTTTGGGTTCAATTGCTTATTTATGTTGTGCTTAGCATGTAACTTATATTTTGCAGAATGAAGACTGTTTTAGCTTTTCATACCATGTTTGTTTTGAGTTGAGATTGGATGGATTTTTCAGTATTATTGCTGTTATCCACTATGGCCGTGATGAACCAAATGGTATAAAACTTAATGAATGTGAAGTAGAAGATGATTCGCTTCAAAATGGGGTAAGTTGTTTATATTTTATGTCATAGATCTACATCAAAGGCAGTTTGACTTGAACATTAAGATATGGGGTTGTTGGTCAAACGGTTCATCAATGCTCGCATGTGCTTAGCCCATCAAAACACACCTACTTGTTTCTTCCATCTCCAATTTTTTTACAGACTGCCATTTACAATTCCCTGGGAACTAACACGCCACGTCTCTACTTTGCTTCCATTATTTCCTTTTCCTTTTATATTCGCCATAATATTTATATCTAACGTATATCTGAATAAACAGGTATTAAGATTTTGTTCTTTTTGGTTTAAATTTTTAAACATTTTTAAAATTATTATTTAAAAATATTGGAATCATAATGAATAATTTATATTTGTCATTTTATAAATTTTTTTTTATAAATTCAATTATCAAAATAATCATTTAAATATAGTGAAATGACATCTAATATATTTTTAGGGTAAACTACACTTTTAATACCTAAACTATCAGTTTTGTTTTATTTTAGTATATAAAATTTCATTTGTTTAAAAAATGCACTTAATGTTTACTTTTTATTTTGTTTTGGAACATCTCCGTTAAAAACTTAGCGGAACTATTACAACATAATATTTTTTATGGGTAAATTACATCATTCATCACTCAATTATCTTCTCACTCCTATTTTGGTTACTAAAATTTATTTTTTTAATTTAATTATTTAACTTTCAAATTACTCACTCTAACTTTCAAATTTAATTTCTTATTTTAATTAGATATCAATAAAATAATAAGAAGAAAATTTCATAGCACAAACATTATTAATAAAATAAATTAGAGTAATTAAAACATGTGCAATTTGAAAGTTGAGTAGTTAAATTGAAAATTTTTAAACTTTGATGACCAAAATAGGAGTGAGAAGATAATTAAGTGATGGATGATGTAATTTACTCATAAAAATGTCGCGTGCAACAGTTCTGTTAAGTTTTTAACGGCATAGTACTAAAATGAAACATTATGTATAGTTTTAAAACAAATAAAAATTTAAGTATTAAAAACGAAATAAAACTTATAGTTTGGTGCTAACTATAGTTTACCTTATATATATATTTTAATTTACCAAGAAAATAAATATAATTTTACTTTTTTTAGGAGAAATAAAAAAAGAAAGAATATTACTTTATTTTAGTGCGGAATCTTTACTTTCTTTCCATTATATATATATATATATATATATATATATGCGAATCTTTACATTCTAATATGCTCTTTTTATTTTTATTTAATTTTTTAACTTAAGAGTTGAGATAATACAACAAAACTACATCACCTTAAAAAAAATTGTGACAAACATGAGACGAATATAATATAACATATGTTCAAAATCTATCATTTATTTAATAATAAAAACACATATTTTTATATAAATCATATATAAACTTAAAATCTCAACAAATAACAATATATCTATTTAACCACTATAGTTTGCATATCACCTTAACATTAGTACCACAATTTTTAAAATTTAATTTTAAAAAAGTGGGCCTATTTAATGGGATTTATTTTATCTCATTAGTCAATTTTCCGAAGGAGTGCACACCTGTCATAGCCTGTCATCAATCTCCAAAACAACTCATAATAATGTTTAAAAGCAATTAATTCTCTCTTAAATTATGTAATTAATTTGTGATTTTATATGCATAACAAGAAAAAAGTAATAAAAATTATTCCTTTTACTTTAATTATGTACCACTTAAGCAGCGTAATTAAGTTGTAATTTTAAATAAAGTTAAAGGATCTTATATTCATAGTAAGAAAAACAATCCTTGATTATGCTCATTTTATATAATTTATTATAATAATTTAATTTACTTAAAAAATTGAGTTATTAAATCTATCATATTAAAAATTAAATTATTCCATCTATAATATATTTATAAAAAATTCATTAACTATTATTTTAAAATTTTAAATTTTAGTTTTCTAAAATATTACCAGCTTCATATTCTAATTAATCAAAATTTAATCTAAAAATTTACGATAAAAATAAAAAATTAAACAAAATAAATTTAAAAACTTTTAAACACAATTTAACGTAATAAATAAATAAATTTAGATATAATTAAAATATTTTATAAAAATTAAATACTATAAATACATAAATTATCATATTTAAGTAGTAATTAAGTTAACAACTTGATACTCCGTTCCATTTTTCTTTCAATTTTTATTATCTCCCTCGTCTCTCTCTCTCTCTCTCTGAGACTGAGAGACTATGAGATTTATTTCTTTGTTTCCTTCGTTCTACCTAAATAAATACACTCTTAATCCCATTTAATTTACGCTGCTCGCCCTTCTCCTCCTCAATCCAATTATCCACCCCCCCCTTTTTTTCTCCTTTTGCAGCAGCTGCTGTGTCTAGGGTTTGCATTTCCGGTTGGTTTTGTAAACATGGAAAGATCCAGCGGCAAACTTAACAGCAACTTCTCTCAAATTTCCTCAGGTTATTTTTTTTCTGTTTCCTCTCTGGTTTTCCCTCAACCCCTTTTTTATTTTGATCGAAAGGAATTAAATTTCTTTCGATCTTTACGTAATTTCTTGCCCACCAAACGGGTCTTGATTCCTTTCCGTTAAATTCGTTTGCTTTGTCTTCTTTGATTGTTTACTTGTATGGTATTGTTTGATTTGCTGATTGGTTAAGAATTTTGCAGATAATGCGCTTTTTGATGCTTCCCAGTATGAATTTTTTGGTCAAAATTCTTTGGAAGAAGCGGTGTTGGGAGTTCTGGAAGATGGTGAAGAGGAAGCTCCTATATTTTCATCCATTGAAGATGACGAGTACCATTTGTTTGATAAAGGAGATGTTAGATTTAATTCCTTTGATATGTTCCATTAAATCTTGGTTTCAAATTTCTATGTTTATGGATTTTGAAACATGACTGTTTCAGCTCTAATTTACCTCTTATTTACTTTTTAGGTTGGAGGTTTAGGGTCATTATCTGATATGGATGATCTGGCTAGTACTTTTGCAAAGGTATGTTTTATTTATTTATAAACGTTGCAGTGTGATGAATGTCAATAATTAGCATTTCTCAGTAACAGTTGTTTATAAGATTTGATATGCCTGTTTCCTGAGTTGCCATTGGCCTTTGTTTTTTTGGTTTATTTATTTTTATCTAAAATGCAAGAGGAGTTCAGAATAATTGTTTTCAATAAGTTGACCTTTCCATTTTTGCTTTTATGGTGTTAAATGGGAGAGAGGGGATATCAGAATTACAGTTTTCAACAATGACCTTTCCATTCTTTTAGCCTAAAAAGGTGTTTGAAGATGGTTGTTTTGCCACGGTGTTGGCATATTGAATACCTTAGCATGCACATATTATGTAATTCTGCAGATGCAAATATGTTTGTTTTATGCTGCTCTCTTACTACCTATTTTGTTTTGGTTGTCCTTACATGGTGATTGGGTTCTGATATCTCTCTTTTTTCCTGCAGTTGAATAGGGTTGTCACAGGACAAAGAAATCCAGGAGTTATTGGCGATAAATCTGGTTCTTTTTCAAGGGAAAGTAAGTATAATTATGCCTGTATATTGTGGTTATAATCTGTATTGATGAATGAAAGATCGTAATATCATTTGCCATATGAAAAAACACACTTTTATTCCTCTTTTTTGCTTGAAAATCTTGGCATCAGTCTAGTGTAAATGATAAATAATTCTCTCTCTCTCTCTCTATATATATGTGTGTGTGTGTTATACACAAATTTTCAGAGGAAAAAAAGGCATAAATGTGTATTATTCTATTTTTCAACTTTAACACAATAATCTCACAGGAATTGGATATATGGAAATCTGAAAATGGATTTAGATTAAATGGAAATTGGCAAGAGTCCTGTCTTATTACATCCTTGGCGTATTTCTGAGCTGACTTCCGCATTTTCCTTTCCAAACCCATTAAAGCTTCATCCAACCCACCCCCCCTCTCCGCGCGCACACACAAAAAAAAAGGAAAGGAAAAAGTGTGCATACTCTTGTTCTAAGACAGTTCCATGTTGAATTATATGCAATTCCTGTTACACAGCTTTCTTTAGTTTAAACATCAACTTTCTCATCTTTTTAGATAACCAATAGAATTGTCCATTTGTTTAAAATACAATATCTGAACTTGCCAATTTGTCGAGTTATGATTTTATTCTGTTCAACAGTGGTTGATAACATTTATATTTTAATTGCTTATGTTTCATGTTGTGAAAATCATTTTCAGGTTCATCTGCTAATGAGTGGGCTCAAGATGGAGAGTTTTTAAACTGGATGGATCAACATGTGTTTGATACAGAAGATGCTCAAGAAGGCAAGAGATGGTCCTCACAACCACAATCATCAGCTGCTCATTTTTCAGAATCAAAGCCTTTGTATAGAACTTCATCATATCCCCAGCAGCAACCAGAGTCTCTCTTCATGTTTGATACAGAAGACTCTCAAGAAGGCAAGAGATGGTCCTCTCAGCCGCAACCATCTCCTGCTCGTTTTTCAGAATCAAAGCTTTTGTATAGAACTTTGTCATATCCCAATCAGCAACCAGAGCTTCACTTCTCAAGTGAACCGATTGTTGGACCCAAATCATCGACCTTCACATCTTTCCCTCCTCCTGGTAGCAGAGGACAGCAGAATTTGCCTGGCAACCTAAAAATTCCTGTTCTTACTAGTGGATCTCAGTCACCCTTCTCTGCAGCAAGCCTCTCTCAAATGTCTACCTCCAGTCTTCATCTGGCCAGTCTATCTCAGGGATTACATTTTGGCGGTAATTTGCCCCAGTTAACATCTCCTGGCCTATCTTTTAGTAGCAGATCACAAAATAATTGGGTTAACCAGTCTGGTCTATTGCATGGAGAAAGTGCTGGTCTTTTGCACCATATGTTGCAACAGCAAATACCTCATCTAAATGGCCTAATGTCCCCTCAACATCGGTTGCAAGAGCAGAGACTACACCATGCAGTCCAACCATCTTTTGCACATTTTACTGCATTACAATCTCAACTGCATAATTCCCATCCTTCATCACACAAAATGTTGTTTGGACTGGCTGATCTTAGGGAACATCGAAATAAATCATCACAGAGAAACAGGCAGAGCCTGCGTTTTTCTCAGCAAAGTTCAGATACTGGTAGCCAGAAAAGTGACACGGGATTGGTGCAATTCAGATCCAAGTATATGTCTGGTGAAGAGATAGAAAGCATTCTCAAGATACAGCATGCCGCCACACATAGTAATGATCCTTATGTAGATGATTATTACCACCAAGCTTGTCTTGCTAAAAGATCTTCTGCATCCAGGGCTAAACATCAATTTTTCCCATCTCGCAAGAAAGAATCACATTCTCGATCCCGTAACAGTGGGGAGCAGCATTTGCATCTCCATATGTATGCACATGGTAAAATATCCCTCTCTTCAATTCGTAGACCCCATCCTCTGCTTGAAGTTGATCCTCCCTTAGGTTCAGGTGATGGTTCTGATCAGAAAACTGAGAGGCCTCTAGAGCAGGAACCTATGCTTGCAGCTAGAATCACCATTGAAGATGGTTTCAGTCTTCTTCTTGAAATAGATGATATTGACCGGCTCATACAATTTAGTCAACCCCATGATGGTGGGGCTCAGCTCGGACGGAGGCGGCAGATCCTGCTTGAAGGCATGGCAGCATCACTTCAGCTTGTTGATCCACTTGGAAAAGGTGCACATGTGGTTAGCTGCGCTCCTGAAGATGATATTGTGTTCTTAAGATTAGTCTCTCTTGCTAAAGGCCGGAAGCTTATCACTAGGTTCCTTCAGCTTCTCATCCCTGGGAGTGACCTTATACGAATAGCATGCATGACCATTTTCCGTCACTTGAGGTTCTTGTTTGGTGGTCTTTCTTCGGATCTGGAAGCAGCCGAGACAACAAATGGCCTTGGAAAGACTGTTTCCATGTGTGTTAATGGAATGGATCTTCGTGCGCTTAGTGCATGCCTTGTTGCAGTTGTTTGTTCTACAGAGCAGCCTCCACTTAGGCCCCTTGGAAGCTCTGCTGGGGATGGTGCGTCTGTTATTTTAAAATCAGTTCTTGAAAGGGCCACTAAACTTCTAAGTCATCCTTCTGGAAATTGCAGCATGCCTAATTATGCCTTCTGGAGGGCTTCGTTTGATGAATTTTTCACCCTTCTTACCAAGTCTTGTGTGAGTAAGTACGAGATAATAATCCAATCGATACGAAACCAGACTCGGCCATCCTCAGAAGTCGTCAGTTCAGAGGCTATAAGGCGTGAAATGCCTTATGAGCTTCTACGAGCTAGTCTTCCTCACACAAATGAGTCCCAAAGGAAGCTTTTGATGGACTTTTCTCAATATTCTGTGCCCATGAATGGATCCAATTTGCCTGCTGGGAGTACTAGCCAAATCAATTCGGAATCGGTAAGGGGATAATAAAGAAAAAGGGAAGGGTCCTGTGTGAAGATCGTGAACAACGCACTCAATAGGATGTGAGATGGGATAATAGAGGCAAAGGGTAAGTATTTTTTACAGTTTGAGTCTTGGTTTAGAGGGGGGACAGGCCTACATTATTTGCCTAACTGTCCTCCTTCCACTCTTCACCCCCTTTCCCTTTTCTTTGCCTTCCCCAAAAACCGGGGAAGTTGACGGAACTTATCATGGTAACACATGAATGTCTTATATGATGGGGGAGAATTGACGACTGGAAGTTGTTGGTTCAGCTTCTGCGGAGCTATATTTTGGTGCTCTGTTTTGAGACACTCCAATACCAAGTGGAGGCGTTGTAGTAGCAGCATCAGTAGTATTAGTGGGTTGGAATGAAAATGAATGTACAGTTGATCTGTTACAGAACCTTCGAAAACACTCCTTTTCGATACAGATTCCAATGATGTCCAAATTGGCCTTTTTGCGTGTATTTTCTCCTTGTTGGAAGCCGAGTATTGAAGGGGTGGAGGGTAGGGCTGGCTTCTCTGAGAGATCAGAATCAACCTCTAATAATGTAAAAAGTCATCAAACATGTGATGTAACTTTGTTTTTAATCTTATATGTCGAGCAATATTTGTTTCTTATATTCTCTTTTCTTCTCTTGAGATCTTTGTTTTAGATTTTAATCCTATATGCCATCCACCACTTGTGAGACTGTTTGCATCCATTTTTTGTTCTCTTCTCAGAGCTTTGCTTGCTCATAACCTCTGCTGGGGATCTATTCCTTCATCGTCAACATCAAGATATGGGAATAGGTTTTCAGGCTAGTTTTGAAGCGGTTCAATAGGTGATCGTTATATGCAAAAACCAACCAGAAACTAATAAATCGGTGTTAAATAACCAAATACTCTAATCGAAGCTATATATTATAAGGTAAATAATCTAAAAATAACAATATAGGTTGAACATTTAATGATAAATTTGTTAATTTTAAAAATTATATTGAATTTGTTTCACTTTAACTTGATGGATAAGATATATATAACAATTTATAAGGAAGAATGTTTCAATTAAGTTAATTATTTCAAAAAAGAAAAAAAAAAGTTAAATTTCAAACAACACCTAGATTACAAGGTAATATATAAAATCTTTTTAATCTATTGACAACACATACATCTTACAACTATTAAAAAGAAAAATATTCTATTTTATCATTAAATCACTTAACGGGTTATGACATAACATATTTAAATATGTTCACCTTGAAGTTCAATAAATTGGGGTATTTATAGATGGTAAAATAGGGAAAAAGAACTCTACATTTGATATTGTTTTTAATTATATCCTCAATTTTTTTGACAAAATTAACTTTTTACAGTCGGTACTTTCTGCTATTGAAAAAGGTTAAATTAAAGGGCACAATTGAAAAAACTACTGTGCCATTATGGAACTTCCAAATTGAAAATGTAGAAGTGGCTGTACAGTCAATACTTTCTATATATTTTCTGAATGTAAATTATTTGCATGTCAATAAAATTTTAGTTATCAAATAGTAAAGTTTTACAACAGCAGACTCTCTAGTTTAGAAGGCAAACCAGAGGTAAAGAAAATATACAGATAACAGATATAAACAGGGAAGTTTGCCATATACATAATTAATTCTAAAAAAGCCAATGCTTTCTTCTTGCTGCTCTGGTGGGAACATCTGTAAACATATATATATATATATATATGGACTTCATTAATCTGGCTGATGAAATAGAAAGGACTGGGTGAAAGATAATGCATTAAAGAAAAAGAAACGAAAATGGGTCTCACCTCCACTTGCATACAATGAATTGTAATGCACTTCACTCCAGAAGCTCAGCCAAACTTCTGTAATACACCATAATAAGCAACTTAGATTAAGCATCAGCTGGTAAAAGAAAAGAGGATCAAATTGCCTTTTATTGATACTTGATTCGAATCACCGCATAAAAAATCAGGCAAGATGGAGAAATAACTATCTACCTCTAGTAGGAGTTTCTTGTTTGGGCATGATCTCGATGTAGCAAGTGTCACGAAAAGAGGTGACAAGACAAATTTTGGCTCCAAACTACAGTTGATACAAAAGAGGTCAAACATCGAAACCAGAAAACAAATGGAATAGCTAAGCTAATAGATAGAATAACACAACAAACGTAGATAATCACCCGCGAGAATTTCAAAGCATTGCTTAGTAAGATTAAAGAACATATACATAAAAGGAAAAAGGCCTTTTCATTGAACTTCATTAGCATGGATTATCGTATCCATCTCAGGCAAAAGACAGATTAAAGTTAAACACTATATAACCTTGTAGGTCTACAACTAATTTTTAACCGTTGTTCATTTACCACTTAATGAAAAATAAGTTTGAAGAGATGGAGTAGAAAGAGAGATGGAGGATACGTAGAGAAACAGGGTGAAACGAGGAAGGCAGCAAAAAAGTGAAACGGAAGAAAAGAAGAATGAAAAAAAAGCTGCATCAAGCTCAACATAACTCATCAACTTTCAGATATAGATGAAGATCTGAGTTATTTTAAGATGAAACAAAAAAAAATAGAGAATAGCTTGGAAAAAGGGAGCTTCTATGGGGCAGTAACAAGAATTCATTCCAAGGAGTAAAAAAGATGAAATTTCATTCAACTTACTCGGTCAGCAGCTGCTTGCAGAGTGATATGATCTCCCCATTCCCCGGATCTAGTGAACAGATAATTTAGCACTAAATGATTTAGTATTTACTCATTTTAGATCATTAAAATATGTTTTATATTCATCCAGAGGAAATTCAACAAGAATCAATATCTAACTTTTTCATCGTCTTCAGGTAGCTTTTGTACTTCATTGGAACATAACTTTCATACAACTGTTTGGAATGCTTTAGCTGAGAAATAAGAAATTAAAATAAACAGAAAGAATAATAGACAGTCGGTGTAAAAAATAAAAAATTATTATCCTAATCTAAATTATATCTTATCTAGCCTAGCTCTAGGAGATAGAGATGATAATAGAGTCGAAATAAAACTAGATAACATACCAAATTGAAATTTTGGCTACTTTGGTAATTTCAAATGTATAAATAACCCTTATATCATAAAAAAAACAGTACATGATCTTGTTTTCTGAGTCAGAACATAGGCATCATACACGTGTGGGCATCAAGAATCAAGATATATACGTGGAAGTCTTTGTGAATTCAACTTGTCGGAGAAATAACAGAGACGTAATAAATCTCGCAAACAAACAAGGAAAAAATATTCCTAAAAGTGAAAGACATGAAAATCACCTATTTAATGAGGAGAAATAACAAGTCGGAGTATTTGCAAAAGGGAAAGCTTCTTTGTCACGATAGCTAATATTTATCCAATAGGATAATATCTGAAACTGAGAGATGTTTGCATTTGTGGAGCAGCATAAACCTTACCTGCTTGACAATCTGCCTTCTAATATGTTTGTGGTAGTCTGGATTGCGGAACAGCTGATCTGCTAGTGCTCGGAACTATCAAAAAACATACCGTCATGGAAGATTTTTCAAGAAAAACAGCAGATGTAGAGAAAGAAAACAGTAGTAATGCAAAGAATCAGTGACTTTGATATTAAAATCTCCTTGTTTCATATATGTGCATCTGTATCTGGAAATATAGATGTATAATATCCATATGAGAATTGTGGTAAAAATGGTGATGGTGGAGAAAAGACTAATCATAGGACAAAAAAGAAAGACCTGGCAATTTCCATCACCCTCGATTTGCAGTTCAGCTAAACCATAAGTAGCCAGCCTGAACAAAGGGGGGAAAACCCATCATAACTAAATAAACGCAAACCAATTTAAACGGATATCTAAAAAGGAGAGTATGGAGAGGAGGTTATCAAATGCAAAATCTTCAACCATCATGATAGGATACAAGTCTTTTTTATGTCATATTTGCTATGTTGCCAAGACTTGGGTAAGAGACGGGGTCCTGACTAACAAAATCCTAAGCAAAATGAAGCAAATTCACAAAAGAGAACAACACAGAAGTTGGTGAGGAAATAAGATGAACGGTAGTCATATGATTGGATTGAAAAATTATTACTTTTGAATGCAATTCTTCAAACCCCAAAAATTTAATTATTCTCTCATTTTTCTTATTTGCATGTGGATGTTTCTCCAATCTTCCTACTCATGTTGGTTTCAATCTCTTTCTTCCATCTTATTTTTTCATCACCCTATACAAGTCCAGAAAACTCTACCCACATCTGTTCCAATTCATAACAACATGGGTACTCCACCAAAAAAGCCGAGTCTGAGCAACAACTCATGCTTGAGCAATGAATATAGACACAGTAAGAATGGTATGGTTTTAAACTTTTAGGAGTTGTACAATGCACAAAGCTATTAACACCACAAGTCCAAAATGATTTTTTTAACTTGAAGCCAACAAAGAACAGAATTCAACAGACTACAAAGTTTTTCAAAATAAACAGACAAATTAAATATCATAGAAACCACAGAATTAAAGACAAAAATGAAGTCCAAGTCCAAATCACTTTTTTTGTAAAAGTTCAAATGGGAACAGACTACTAGTGAACAACCAGAGATGAAACAATCAAAATCAATGAGAAATTGATACAGTGAGTATGACAAGATTGCAACCTTTCAGAAAGTCGTTCATGATCTAAGGTCGCATCATTCACATCAGGTATTTCCCCATTGACACGAGGAGTGTGCTGTCAACAAAATGATAATGTCAAAAAATCATCAGCCAAATAGAAAGAAATGCAGATGAGAGCAGACATTGAAATAATCATTAAACTTAGGAGCAAAAAAAGGCGTTATAGTTTTTTGAAAACCATGTTAAACTGAACTCACAATTTCCTAATCAAGTGCGAGAGAAACATAAAGGCTAAAACTAGGACACTTACTCTTTGGTAGACTCCTATATCTATGTAAAAGATGTTAAAAGACAAAAAGGACAATAACACACTTCCTAGTAATACTCCTAAAATGCCAACAAATGTGACTCTTCTACAATGTACATTTAATATGAAAAGTTAAAAAATGATCATTCCATAACAGTGATGCAGCACTGGTTCCAAAAAAAGCATGAATAAGTTATAACATACGTTTATCAATCTAAATCATGCCATAAAAAACTCCGCTTCAGTCAAAAATTATGCCACAAAAATGCATACAACTCATGAACCAGGAAAACATGATATAATGGGAAAAGAAAACTTTAGAATAAAGTTATTGAATTGATAACAATTAAAGAAAGAAAGAAATGATAGGGTCTCGGAAGTGATGAAAATAACACATGTAACACAATAATTTTCCTCCAGAAGCACCATGCTTCTGGCAATATATTCAGTTTTCAACAACCATCGGGAGTACCGTAGTAGTAATTCCTAAAGTTTCCAAATTATAGCATGTCACTCAGCAGAACATACAACATAGTCATCATGCAATGAAAGAGAAGAGAAAATAAATGGCTGACTTTTAGGACCGTGTGGTATGATTTTTAAACAATGCAAATACTTCAATAAAGTGACCAACCAACATATAAGTGGTAGGAATTATTATACCGGAATGGAATCCAGATGAGAGAGCCTTTTCCCAAGCTTTCCATTGTTGTGCAAGTTCTCTTCTGCTAAGATGGTTGCTATGGCTTGATCATCTTCTGTATCTTGGAAACTGCTATTCAAGCTTGAGCTGGAGCTTGCACTTGCATTACCGTAGCCTTCACTCATACTGTCTCAATAACAACATTCAGCCAATAAAACATGAGATTGCAGAATTAAGCCATCTATTGTACCGATAGGAAAAGGTTGATAAACATCCAAATCAAGCAAATATTGTATCAAATACCTAAAAGAGTGACTAAAAAAATCCAAGTTACCCAGATCCTCCATGGGTATGTTAAAAATACCCATAACCTAAAAAACCCCAGAAAATGTGGTTCCTATCAAAGCTGTTGTTAAATTCCATATAAGCATATGATAGATTAAAAAAGCTCTGGGATCGTTTAACTGTAGCTGAACAGGAATGATAGAAGTCTATGTTAAACAAAAGCAGTTCTAAATTAACAACGGATTTCCTATAATTATCATCGTTTTCTTCCATTTTCTCAGCAAATAAGCAGAGCACAAGTCATCCAAGTAAGAAAGGAGCAAGGAAATGGACATAAATGAAGACAAAAACAAGAACAGCCGCAACCGCATAAACCCCAAAAACAAATTGGAAATAAAGAATACCCAGATTAAAAAACTGAAGAACTTCGAGAATTTATTGACGTACGATTAGATAGTTTGTTTGATCTTCTAAGCTAAAGCAGAGAAGTTCTCTATTCTTATCGAGTGTGCTCATTTAAATAAATGGGAATCACTATACAAAAAAAAAAAGGAAAAGGGAAAAAAAACCGAAATGGTCAAAATAGTTGTACGAAAAATGTCTGAACTTTATCTCATGAACTTTATCACTATACGATATCAATGTAGAATTCACCCTATTTCACTAATTAATTTGAGATGTATATTATCTCGTGAATAAAAAAATTTGAAAACATTATCTCGTGAGTTTTGCCTATAAATTATTCATCCGAGTATATTAATATTATTTTTTATTATAATGGGTTCGGATATATATCAGAGTTAAGGATTATACAATAAACTTGTAAAAGAAAAGAAAATTAAAATGTTTTGACATCTTTCAAGTGTTGGACTTGATTGAGTCCAAAAATAAAAGCCTCCAGATTAGCTACAACTCTAGAACTGGCCTCTTCTCCCATTGTTCTCTGGTATATCTTCATTAACCTTCCCTCCATTTCTTCATCCTCCGTCACCTTTCTCACCGCTTCTTCAACATCTTTTAGCCCCAATCCATTCACTTTCACCCCAATCTTCCAGACCTCAACAATATATTTACAGTTCACAAATTGATCACCGGCCACCGGATAACACAGCAGTCGTTTTCGGCATTGAATGGCTTCCATTGTTGAATTCCATCCACAATGCGTGATATATAAACCCACTGCTTTATGTCGCAGAATCTGCAATTGGGGCGCCCATGAAACCAGTTTGCCTTGCTTTGAAACCCTCTCCGAGTACCCATTTGGTAAACCTTGCCGCCATGAATCGGCCAAGACCCAAATAAATGGTCGGTTCAATGATTCGAGTGTTAGCGCAAGGGTTTTGATTTTGGCGTCTCCGATGGGGCTAACCCAACTCCCGAACGAAACGTAAATGACTGAGTTAGACTTGTGGTGGTTTAACCAATCTAAGCAGCTGGTGTCTTCTTTCCAAAAGCTAGGGTTCTTCACTGCTGTTAATGAAGGTTTGCTTAAAGGTCCGACAGGGAAAACGATTGGACTAGGGTGAGGTGGAGTGATATGATCATCGGTTTTGTATTCGTCGTCATCGTCGCTGAATTCTCGGGGAAAGGAATTGAGGAGAAGCCATGGGAGAGTCGTTGAACGCTCTAACGTTCTGGTCCAGAATTTGAGCCTTGCCTTTCTTGAAGCTTGAGTTCCGATCAGCCATGGAAGATCTTCGGTAGATAACAATGGCTGACTCGGGAGGGATAATACGGTGCCTTGATGTCGTGGACATCCTGCAAAATACACTTAAATTAGTGAACAACTGGGATTACATTGCCGGCTACGGACAGTGCGTTAATGTTCATGTTCCACACCTCATCAGTCATCTTGCTTCACGTGAAACATATAAAACCACAATTCAATTCCAACTTAAATTAAGAATAAAGAATCTAATCATTTAATTTATTTTTTTTATATCTATGACGCGCATGTTAAAGGATCAGACAAACGTATCTAAGTGTATCTGTAGATCCAAATCGAGTCAGGTATTTAAGAAAAACCTATGTAATCAGATTTTTTTTAATGAGGTTATATGTTTTATTTATGATTCTTAAATCACATGAATTTTAAATATTAATTTTTATTTTTAAAATTTTTAAATTTACATCTTTAAATCTTCATGTCTATACTATAAATAAGACACGTGACAATATTTAAACTCGTTTGGCGTTCGTAGAATCTTATAAAATAATAATTCAAAATATGTATCATATTTTACACTTAGAAATTAAATTGAAATATTATCTAAAAATAATATTATTTAAAGTAATATTATAATATTTAGAAATTAAATTGAAATAGTTATCTAAAAATAATATTTAAAAAATAATAAAATAATTTTTTAAAAGTAAAAATATTTATTTGATCATTTCTTAAAAAAAAGATCATTCAAATGCTTAATAACAATTCTAAAACTTGAATGATGCCAACAACTATGGTATCTTATACATATTATACTTTCAATAAAAGAATAAATTCAAATCTAATATTATTTAAAGAAACCGTTTCAATTTTGAATATAAATTATACAAAAAATTAGAAAAACTCACGTTATGATACTATAAAGTAAATTAATAAAAATCAATGACGCCGTTTGATGTAAGGAAAAAATATTTTAATGACATGATACAAAAAGTTTATGGTTGGGGAAATAAAAGAAGACTTTACATTTATGTCAACCCATTGACATTTATTTAGCGGGCATGTTACTTTGTGCAGACTGCAGTTTGCCATTTGCCAATGTCATCGAGAACTAAAACTAATCGTATTGCATCAGAAATAATTATAATTATAATGGTATTGGTATTGGTCAATCATCAAAGTAAAAATAAAATGAAATCATGCTTTACCTGTTTCAGAAATCAGTTCGGAATGGATCATCACCGGTATGGCGGCGATCAACCGGTAAGTGGCTTGCATAGCCGGCCAAAATCCGGCAGCAGGGATCCCACACCGCTCGGCAACTTGAATGGCCCACGAAGCCAATAAATCAATAACCAAACAGACTACTTTCCCCTCGTCGTCCTCGTCTTCATCAATCTTACGGAGCAGACTCCAGATATATCGGCATGACATTCTCCATAGATTTCTCGATGGCAAAGAAATCCAGAGGCCCCTTTTCTCCGTCTAAACTATCCGGTATCGACGCGAACCTGACTTCGCCTTTGTCGGGGTCCATGTTGACCGCGATCCGATGGTGAATGAACTCCGGGGTTACGATGATGGGTTCGAACCCGTGGCTAATAAAGGCTAACCCTAGCTTTAGCATGGGGTTCACATGGCCTTGCGCTGGATATGGGACCAGCAAGATTTTAGGCTTCTTCGTATTGCACTTGACTCCCATTTTTTCTTGTCTCTTCACTGCAATTGTTTTTGGGTGACCAAGTTGATGAGGAAATGAGATAGGCCCTGTTTTATAGCTGGGGGAGAGTGAGAATGAATCTTGAGCTTGGTGTAGAGTCAAATAAAGCACGTGCTCATATGTCTCATCGTTTCTTTATGGGCCAAAATCCATAGCCATTACTTTATCAGACACATGCTTAGAATTGCTTTATTTGTTATCAACGAGTTGGATTTTTACAAAGCACACACTTAAATTTGCTAGAATTATTATTAAAATTTTGTATTATTTTAATAAAATGTATAAAATTATATTTAAATTTTAATATTTATCGGGATTAAATAACAGTTAAAATATAAATATAAATTTCATCACTTAATTTTCTTCTCACTCCTATTTAGGTCATTAAATTTGAAATTTTTTAATTTACTCACTGAACTTTCGATTTACTCATATTTTGGTCATTCCACTATTAAATACTTAACATTGTTATGAATGAATATTTTTGTAACACCCCCAACCCGTATCCGACCCGGATACGAGTCCGAAGTGTCACATTGACTTTTCAAACATTTATTCTTATAAAATAGTGAGTAATTTAAAAACTTTGATAACATTTAAATTATTTCAAAACGTTTACAACAGATATCAGAGTTCATACTATTTATGTCTTTAGACTACATGCCAACTACACTCTATAAACAGTACATACATTTTCTGATCTGACATTTGGTAAGGAAAACTGACCTGTCTTGCTCCGCATCACTCTTTACTCTTCTCGAAACCTACGTGTGAAACAATCACACGCTAAGTCGAAGACTTAGTGAGGCATAACAACTTATAATGCACTTTATAACATATATCGATACATGCATGTTCTGTTCTATCATGTTATAGCAATTCCATGCATTTTTCATATCGTACAAAATCATATCAGATTAATTACAGTAAATACATACATACACATAATTCATCATTAACAGTTATCATATAATCACATACTTTTTCAATCAAACACTATACACACAACATCATATCATTTCTATAGCATTTATCATACCACTAACTTATATTTGTTCATATATCTGGATTAGCCCATGTACGTATGTGAGAACTATCGATAGTGAGTCTATAGAGGTTGTGCACTAATGCTGTCACCACAGCTCGTATAATTGCACCGAAGTGCCGCGTAGAATTGCACCGTAGTGCCATATAATAATGTCCATAAGGACCACATAGAATTCCTTAAGAATCATATACATATGCTAGGGATCAAGTATGTGTCTTTCAAGACTTCACACATGTTCCACATAATATATATATATCCCGAAGGACCGCGTAGAATTGCACCGTAGTGCCATATAATGATGTCCATAAGGACCACATAGAATTCCTTAAGAATCATATACATATGCTAGGGATCATAATGTGTCTCACCAGACTCACACATGTTCCAAAGAATATATATATCCCGAAGGACCGCGTAGACCCTCGACTCTTGGCATGCCAACTATACCCCTAGCTCTCATGACACATAACATGGGCGTTATCATTTATTTCATTTCAAATATTCACATAAACTTGTAATTCACTTTCACATATCACGTATCACATAGCTTCTTTTCATATTATCACATAGTCACGTAGTTCACTTACACGTAGATCATTTCCATATAATTCACATGTCACATATGTCATGTTTTCATATAATTTCTATCATTTCTCACCCAATCACCTTTATTCATGTAAACATACTTATCATATCTTGTTCACATAAGATCATATACTTCATATAATATATCGAAACACCTAGAACACTTTCACGTAGCTTATAGTCATAGGTCTTATCTAACATATACTTGTTTTCACATATATATTTCATATCATTTCTTATACCATCACATAATTCATTTAACATACATAACATATTATGTAACATTATAATAGAAATACCTATAAGTCATATCACTTAGATCACACATATATACTTATAGTCACCTTGCTTATATCTTAATCTTATGCCTTCTCTTAGACATATATATATTCACATGTTCAGGTAATCCACCATTTCATAATAATTATGTATCATATAACTCATTTCATTTCATTTCATTTCATATCTATCTATATATATATATATATTCTCAAGATTATCCTAATATA